TTCTCCCTGTGTCTGGGTGGGTTTCCTTCAGATGCTCTGGTGTCCTCCCACAGATGTGCAGGTTATTGGCCATGCTAAATTGCCCTTAGTGTCCAGGGATGTGCAGGTTAGGTGGATTGGCCATGGGAAATGCAGGATTGTAGGGTAGGGTAGGGTAGGGGAGTGGGTCTACGTGGGATGCTTTTCACAATGTTGGTGTACACTTGATGGGCTGAAGAGCCTAATTCCACCCTATAGGGATTCTATGATTCCCACACCCTGTTTCTGGCCTGTCAACTAATTCTCAATCCATGCCAGTATAACACCCCAATTCCACATAATTTAATTTTGCCCACTTGCCTGTTAAATGGGACCCTAACAAAAATCTTCTTGAAATCCAAATGCATTACTCTGGCTCTCCTTTATCTATTCTATTAAATATATATTTAAAAACTGCAGAAGATTAGCTAAGCATGATTTCCCTTTCATAAACCCATGCTGACCTTGTCTAATATTGTTAATGCTTTCCAAGTGTTACTTTAAAGACATAAATAAATGAATTCTTGATATGCAAGGAAATCAAAGGTTATGGGTGGGCGGGTGGTGGTAGGTGTTCTACTTCTGCTCATATTTTACATGTATGCTTCTGACCACCAGATATAATAATTTACAGCCAATGACATATTTTTAAAAAATGTACTCACTGTTACAATGTAGTAACCCCAATCCTATTGCAGCCAATTTGTACACAGCAAACTCCCACAAACTGAAGTGTGATGATGATAATATAATTTGTTGTTGTGAAGTTGTGTGAAGGTTAAATATTGGTTGAGAAGTCCTGGGTAACTTTCCTGCTTTTCTTTATATCCACCTAAATCAGCAGATGTGACCATGATATAATGCATTATCCAAATGCATCACTATCAGAGCAGCACTCCCTCAGACCTGTACTGAGTATCGTCCTTGCTTATTATTCTTAAGTCCTGGAGTAGGCCTTGAACTTGAACTTAATGGCAAGGGTGTGACCAATTACACCCCTGCTACCTACACTTCTACCTCAGCCTATCTGTTGCGGAAATCTCAGTCATCCCTTTGCCACCTCAAGATTCAACAACGTCAGTGGTCTCCTACATGGGATTCCATTCTTCAATCTTCACTAACTTCTGCTTATCCAAAATTCTGCTGTGGATCCAGTTTGGCATTAATAGGAAAATATGCAATGAAAGCAGGATGTGAAATTAACTGGTTAACTCTTTCAAAGTGCCAGCACAGTAATGGTAAACCACTGGCCTTCATGTTTTCAATAATTGTCCCTCATCCCTCTACCTTTGCTGACCTACAGCAGGTCTCCAAAATCTCTCATCCCTGTACCTTCCTCCAACCTGTAAAGACCTCTACAGCAGAGCATCCCTCTTACTTCACCTGTTGGTGCAACATGAGCAACTCTGGTTAGACCAGAATTTGTTGTTCATTTCTAGCTTCTCTCAGGAAAATAGAATTAGTAATTTTCTAAACCCACTGTAGTCCAGATAGCAACACCCATAGCGCTGTTAGCGGTGGAAGTCCTGTATTTTGAGTGATATTGAAGGAATATCAATATATTTCCAAGCCAGGATGAAGCATGGCTTGCAAATGGTGGTGTTCCCACAAATCTACATGAACCTTGATGTTGCGGGTTGGCTATGGGAGCCTTGGTGAGATACTACGGTCCATCATGTAGATGGTACACACTGCAGATACTGTAGCATCATCGATGATGGAGGGAGTGAATGCTGAAGGGGGTGCAGCAGTTGCTGATAGGCCCTCGATGATGTCTAACTTTGCGTGTTATTGGAACATCATTGACCCCAGCAAGTCACAGAATATTCCACCACAATCCTGACTCCTGCCTTGCAGATGATGGACAAACTTTTGGGAGTCAGCTAAGTTACATGTCTCAGAACTCCCACCTTCTTACTTGCTATTGTAGCCACAGTATTTATATGTTGCATTACATTGCATGATCCAATTTAGTTTCTGGTCAATGGTAACGCCCAGACTGTTGATAGTGGAAGATACAACACTGGTAATGCTAGTAAATGTCAAGTGCAAATGTTATATTCTTTTTTGTTGGTTAGAGTCATTACTTAGCACTTGTGTGTTGCAAATATTATTTGCTTCTTATCAAACCAAGCCTAAATATTGTCCAATTTTTGCTGCATATTGACACAAACTGTTTCAGTACCTGAGGAGTTGTGAATGGTGTATGCAATCATCAGTCAATTTTCCCACTTCTGACCTCATGATGGAGAGAAGGTGATTGATGAAGCAGCTGAAGATGGTCAGGCCTATAACATTATTCTGAGGAACTCTCCACAATGCCCCTACCTAACCCTATCACTGAACCAGGGGGCCTGGCTTCAAGTCCTACGCTTCAGAGCTGTGTAATAACATCTCTGAACAGGTTGATTAGAAAATATATAGGGCTCTGTGACACAGTAATTGTGTGCCCTACCTCTGAGCCAGGAGACCTGGGTTCAAGTCTCACCTACTCCAGAGGTGTGTAAATAACATCTCTGACCAGATTGATTAGAAAGTACATATCCTGAGCAACATATGGCTCTTGTGGCACAGTGCTAGCATCTCTATGTTTGAACAGGAAGGCCTGAGTTCAAGCTCCAGTGGTGTGTAATAGTGTCTTTGAACAGGAAAATATCTTTGAGTAGTTAATGCAGTGGTGTCCTGGGACTTAATTGACTAACCTCCAATAACAACTAACTTTCTTTGTGTTATGTCTGTCCCTAGTTAGGCTGAGGCATTGGGAAAGTAGTAATGCTTTTAGTCACTGCCCCAGGCTAACTTTCTGGGAAGTGGGTTGAATTACATCATGTCAGATGATGAAATTTAACTGTAATACAAATTTAGAGATTAAAACTTAGAATATTGATGGCTAAAATATACCAAAGTCTGATTAGACAATAGAGCTACTCTCTCATTACAGATTGGTGATGCTTAACCTCAGGCAAGGGGAGAGTTTGAGACAGAGAATCTTTCATAGTAACCTTAGGCAGTACAGGGATTGAACCCAAGCTGTTAGAAGCATGCTGCATTACAAACCAGCTGTCCAGCCAATGGAGCTAATCAGCTCACTCAATTGATGACTTCATAACCACTGTCAATTGTGTAAAAACCATTCAAGTCCATTAATGCCCTTTACAGGAGAAAATCTACCATTCTCATCTGGTCTGGTCTATATGTGTCTCCAGAACCACAACAAATGTGGCTAATTCTTAATTTCCAGCTGAAATGATCTACCACGCCATTGAGTGATACCAAACCCAGCTATAAAACCTAAATAAAGAAATTAAACCTAGTCAGCCTATCCATCATTGACCTAGGCACTGGAAATGACAATGGCAAAGCCAGCCCTGCCATAAGCAGACTGATTCCTGAGATGGCAGGACTGATGTACGAAGAGAAACTGGATTGGTTACGACTATAGTCACTGGAATTTAGATAAATGAGGAGGGATTTCATTAAACCTATAAAATCCTAACAGGACTAGATGGATAAATGTAGGAAATATATCCTCATGACTAGGGAGTCTAGGATCAGGGGACACAGCCTAAGGATATGAGGAAGGCCATTTAGGTCTGAGATGAGAAGATAATTCTTCACACTTCGGAGAGTGATGAGCCTGTGGAATTCTCTGCCACAGAAAATGATTGAGGCCAAAACACTGAATGGTTTCAAAAAGGAGTTAGATATTGTTCTTTGAGCTAAAGGGGTCAAAGGGTATGGGGAGAAAGCAGGAACAGGGTACTGAGATGGATGATCAGCCATTGAATGACAGAACAGGCTTGAAAAGCTGACCAGCCTACTCTTTCTGCTCCTGTCTCTGTTTTCATTTCTATTTTCTATGTAATTAGCTAGATTGAATTTGTTCTGCTTTCTCTGGACAATACACGACTTGAACAATTGTTCACAGTGTTCCAGTCTTGTGCCCATGTGGGAAGAGCCCCTCCATGGATGCAGTAGTTTGCCTGCACAAGCTTTCAGGACTGCTGCTGGGTTATTGTTGGGGTTTGTAGCTTTTGCTGTATCCAGAGCTCTTTCTTGATGTTGCATGGAGTGAATCGAATTGGCTAAAGACTGGCATTTGTAAAACTGGAGGAGACCAGGATGGATCATCCATTTGGCTGGGTTCCCAGTCATGAAAGATAGAAATATGTGTGAAGCCTCACCCTCTGTTTACTTCTTTAATTGTCAACTACCATTCATGGCTGAATGAGACAGAGCTGTAGAGCTTCGATCTGATTTATTGATCGTGGGATCACTTGTGTCTCTGTGTAAGGCAGTTTTGTCTCAAATATCTTATCTAAAGGGAATACACAATTACATTTTGTAAACAAAATAAACAATTTGAACACAGATGTTGAACTTCAATAGGAGCATCTGCGTCAATATTATCGACTAGATGAAAAGTTCCATTCCCTTCTTCACTTTAATCACTCCCAGCTGAGGACTCTAATATCTTGGGGGAAATACTGTTCCAAGAAATATTTAGCGTAGGCCTATTAAGGTTCCACTTGCTTCCTGCCAGTGCCATCATACGTTTAGTGTTTTTTTTCTTTGTTGAACTGTAGACAAACAGTCGCCTTTCCACTTGTGTCGAGTCTCTTTGTAACGTTATGTCTTGTTACAGAAAATTCCCTTAGCCTGACCTTGGTCATGTTGTGCTTTGTTGACATTTGATATTAAGAGCGGCTCGCATGCCAGACTGTACCATTGCAACAGTGAGGGAAAACCTTTTATACTACGGTATATACAATGATCGGGGGTTTTTAAAATAACTAAATCGCTTTTTACCGTGACCCAATCTATTGCAAACGAAACCAAAATGATAACTTGACCTAAAACACCATTCTGCATTGTTTTAATCACCTCAATCGTTTTGCGTTGTTCCAAAACAATTTCTCCGCGTAATAACGTAATTATTTATAAATGACATTCCGGCCTGCTTTCTCTCATAATTATGAATACACGAAAATGTTCAAACGCCTCCATAACCTGGTGATACCCCCGCACGTTTCGATCGTATCCTTTTTAATTTGTCTGCAGAAAGACACGGGAAGCAGACGGAAGTAAGGCGAGCTCTGGTGAACTCTAAACTCTTGCTATTTCCTTACGCCCTGGCAGCTGCTGGAACAGCTCGAACCGCGCATTTGTTTTTTTTTAATTCCCTTTTTAAAACTCAGGCTGGCTCCTACATTGGAGTAAATGCTTCCCAGAGAAGGTTCTTCATGATGCTGACGGCATCGACGCGCCTCTTGGTGAGTTTCCAATTGTCAGTTTCATTCCGCTGATTACCTGTTACATTGTAGCAAAACAAATCGGATTTATTCGGGTAAAGAAGATACAGGACGAAGTGACGATTTGTACATTGTAACCATTGCTCTGCTCAGTAGCTTGTTTATCATGTAATAGCTGGGAGATGTTTATTGCACACTTGAAATCGCAACAAGCAGCGAGCATTGCACACGTGCTGAATGTCACTCGGTTGTGCCGTGTTGTTGAGCTCCAACATAACTTGCAAATCCCACCATCATCCTGGGCGATTGCTGAAGACTTCCGCGCGAAAGAGCAATTGCACTCCGCGTTGCTGCATTTTGTTGGCAAGCCCTCATCTAACCTGTTCATACAAGCAGAAATAGGCTTTAAAATTAAATTAAAAGAGAAAAAAAATGTATTTATGAACCCGCCACTTTTAGAAGGTCTCAAAACACTACACTGTCAGTGAAGTATTTTGTAAATGTTAGAGGGGCGCGGTGTTGCTCCGCGTTCCAAATACTGTATTAAGGCAGAGGGGTGTGGACACATTTTTTTTGTGTTTTTTTTAGTGTCAGACTGCTGACAGCAGTTAATTTGTGTTTCAGTTCCTGTCCGACGAGATTACGCCTCCAAGGTTGTGGCCTGCATGTCACTACGTAAAATGGCCAGTGGCTTTGACCTGCAGTTTATAGGCATGAAACACAAGGGCGCAGATATTAGGTTTTGTCATTCAAAACCTCGCCTGAGAATTATGATTGCTCCACCGGCAGCTTTGTGTTTTGTTGAAAGTCATTGCAAATGTCATCTGTGCAGATTGAGATAGGGTAACCGGTGTTCATAAATCTCCCACCTTGATTGAAAGTACGGGAAATTGGAGAATAACCTATACAGTGACCTGGCTACGTATTTTGTTGAAAAAGACCACAACTTGCATTTATGTAGCAGCCAAGGCACTTCACAAGGGTGTTCTCAGGCACAATTCGCTGTGAGCCATGTAAATTGATAATAGTATGAGTAAGAAAATGCTTGCTCAAAAACGAGATGATGGGAAGTGTCTAGAAGGAAGACTGAAAAGAGGTTGAAGGAAGGAATTCCAGAGCTTGGCGCCCAGGATATGGACAAGCACAACAATGACTGGATGAGTGATTAATATCACAGGTGCTGGAGAGGCCAGAATCCGAGGAATGTGGGGTTGTGAGGATCAGAGGAGATTATGGAGACAGAGCATTTGAGCCAATGGAGGTATTTAAAAATAATGAGAATTTTAAAACTGAAATTTTCCTGGACTGGAGCTCATGTAGGTGATGGACAAATGGGACCTGGGTTTGAAACTTTATCTCCGAGTTAGAAAGGATACCAATTAAGATCAGACTGATGTAATGAAAGCTCATGTCTGGAAGGGTATGGGAGGTACCAGTGTATCCACCGACCAGGGACAAAGACTCAGGAGGCAGGCAGCTTTCAGGCAAGTGGAAGACTTTTATTCAAGCAAGAACTGGTTAATGATGGGAGAGGGCAAAAGGATCTTCCCCAAATCTGGCCTTGACATGATGACTCCATTATTCCCTTAATCTTTAGCTCAGATTGGAAGAGAGATCAATGAGACACTCTTATCTTTACAGTGAAATACAACTTTTTTATACATTTTGTGTGACAATAATCAAATAGTGCACGGACACTGTCCTTCCCTCTTAACCTACACACCTAGTTCCATGAGAGACGTAATTAATGATGGACATTCCTATGGGCAGCCTCAGATTCCCATGATTTCATGGTGTTTACATGACCTTGGAGTCTCTAGACCTTGGGATCTTTCTATGCCTTCTATTCATTTGCATTCCAAAATTACTGGCTATACTCCTTTGGATCTGTCTCAGGCTTGCTTATCTCCAAGGACAGCTTGAATTGTATTTCATGTGCTAATCTTTACCAAATTAAATTATTCATTTTATATTTCCCACTGTCACAATTATGTATGTAAAAGTACAAAAGACAGTTTTAACTGATTGCTATAAAGTTAATTTTTGTTATAAAGTGTAAAATTATACAGCCACTTGGGCTGTGAGTCTTTGTTCAGGGCGTAAGAGAAGGTGTTTCCTAAGACTAATTAACTTTCACATCTAGGTTTAAGTGTTTCGGTTCCTAATGCTTATATTATACTTGGTTATATGTGTATCTATCTTTTATGTTGAAAACTACTTCTTTGATTAACTGAAGAATCTTTAACTAGAACCTATTTCTTAATATTGTGAGTAACTTCAAAGAAACAACTACTGTTACAAAATAACTTTAGCTGTTGTCTTTGCAGTTGCTTAAGGAATTAATTTGGCTGGTTCATGGGCTGAGGCTCACACCTGGTTTTATTCATTTACTGGAACAATCATTCTTGCGTTAATGAAGTTGGAATCCATTGCTTGTCGATCCTTAGGCATCCTCTTATCAGAACTGTCTCAGATGGTTGCTTGCATGGCCTTTACTGACCTTGGAGTAGTCCAGTTCAAATGTACCATTATGTTTCACAGTGTGAGCAGGCTGTTTAATTTTGCTTTGTTTCTGTCTGCCATTTTGTTAGCAGGCATGGGCCACTTAGTATAAGTAGGTACGGGTCACCTTTATATGGGTATACCCCCACACTGTTTCAAAAGAGTGAGACAGTTGTGCCAGTTTATTTTTGCCTACCTTATCAGAAGGTGGAATATTATTGCTGTCTCTCATGCTCCTGAGTTCGCAGCCAGATCAGAAACTGTGCTAGGACTGTTTCAGGGTTGCTGACTCGTAAGAGCAAACTGACAGGCCCAGTCTCTAAAACGACAGTAGATTCATGACATGTGCCATCACTCATTTCTTCTGAAAAAAGAAATGCAGCAACTTGTGGCAATAAGAGATACTCAGTCATGTTTAAGTGGACATAGTTGTGAATGTTGACGTCATTGCACCATTTTTCTTAAAAAAAAACATCTCCAGCAATATGCAGTGCTATATACCCAATGTGAGGGGTGAGGGCAGAGTTCAGCTTGGGTTACTCACTACCAGAGGAAAAAGCATTCATATGGCACCTTTCATTGACTTCATGATGTTTAACAGTGCTCAGTAGCATTGGTCACTTATGATCTTACTATTAAATAGAAATGCACATTTCTGAGTTTGTGCAGAATAGGTGGCATACTAAGCCAACATGGTAATGAGCAGCTGATCGGTTCTCTTTTCAGTGATGCAAGCTGGTGATTGGCCTAGGTAGTTGGGAATAACTCATGACCCTTCTTTGGAATAGTGCTGCAGGATTTTTTGCATTCCCCTGAAAGAGCAGACAGGGCTTTTGATGTAATTTCTTATCTTAAAAAAAAGACAGTTAGTGCACTTTTCCCTCCCTGCATTGGTGTGTTAGCCCAGACTTTTGTGTTGATGTCCTTTGAATGGAATGTGAACCCAAATCTTCTGACTTAGAGACACACAGTTCCTGCTTTTGTCACCGGGGCAGAAGCAGACTGAAGTCAAATGCATTAGAACTTGAAAAATGTAGGAACGGAAGAACCAAATGAAAAAAAAATCTGGGAAAATGAACAGCTAACCTAGTGTTTTCCAGCCTTTGCCATGTATCCACAAGTAAATGTGTACTTGCGAAGAAAATCTTTTAGTGGTTTAAGTGTTGTGTTTGGATATCACCACATAGTTCTTTTTCCTCATTGGTCATGTCTTCAACTGCTGAGGATCTAAACCTATCTGCCTCTGTAACCCATTTCTCTCTTTAAGATCCTTGAAAATTAATTCTTAGATCAAGCTTTTGGTCATGCAGTCTAATATCTCCATATATTGCTTAATACCACATTCTATTTGTTAGCACTTGGATGAATCAGCTTGGATGTTTTATCATGTTAGAGATGCTACATATGTACAAGCTTATTTAGTCTGGGCAGTAACAAGCATATCTTTCCATTCCCTTCCTCCAGGTAGCAATTGTTCCTACTTCATAGTTACTTGGCTTGGTGTCCGATTTTTTTTTTCCATTTGTGTTTCTCTGAAGCACTTTGCAAAAACAAATTGCTTCATTGTAATCGGCTGTCTTCCAGATTTTGTGTTATGACCTTTTAAAATTCAAAAATATGCTTTATTCATTATTGATAAGTAAATACAACAAGTACAAAACAGTTTAGTACAGACTTAGCAGAATAAACAGTGGAATTCTGACATTCCTCATTACAGCTTCAATCCAGTGGCAACAATGAAGGCATTTTCTAAACATGAAAGGAAGTTATTTACATTCCCATTAAGGCTACGAGGATATCTCAAAACCTAACAGACCTTTGTTATATTTTGGCAGAAAGACCTTAGACAATGATCTTTCTCCACTGTGCCTTGGCAGCAGCTGCCTCAAGTTTTAGTACATCCCTCAGCACGTCCTGGATCTACTAGTCTGCAACACTTGTTCATGGTCAATTTTTTGCACTGGGCTTTGTGTCAAGATGCATTGAATAGATGTGGTTTATCTGGGTTTTGAGGATTCAGATCAAGGAGGTAATCACTGGCCAATTCATGTGAACCTTCCTCAGAAATGTTAACTCTGATTTTTTTCTTCACAGATGCTGCCAGACCTGCTGAGCTTTTCCAGTAACTTCTGTTTTTGTTCCTGATTTACAGCTTCCACAGTTCTTTCGGTTTTTAATTCACGTGAACCTCCTTGAGATCATTGAAGACAGCAAGTTTCTGGCCAGGGAGCCCTGAGAAATAGAGGGAATTGCTTTTAACGTACAGTGCATACCATTTATCTGTGATAAAAGGTGCACAAAATAATGTCTTCACCCTGGTCTGTTTTTTTTGCTACTGTATTAATACCATTCTCGTTTATAATACAATGAAGTGTTATCTTTGAGAATAAACATCAGAGTGCAGTTTGTGTTTTTGGAAAGGCTTTAGATTGTAATCACAATTACTAACTAATAAAAGATTAGTGTAACACAATTACCCTTTCATCACTGTATTTACTGTTTGCAGGTCAAATGGAACAAGGGTGACTTATTAACATACATTCATTAAACTAGTAGTTAGATAAAGACCCATAGCTCCCCACAGTGAGAGGGCTGTCTTCATCCTCACTCAATAAATGTTTCACCATAAATAGTTACTGTTTCCTTTGCTGAAACTGTCCTTGTAGAATTCTATGCAAGGACATTTTATTGAAGAGAAAGTATTTGGCCCCTATTCAAGCCCTGAGTATCTTTACTTTCCTATCTTTAATCTAGATGGTCAGAGTATGGCGGCCTGCATTCTTCATCAAGTCACCAGGCGTCCGGTGCACTCCAGGAAGGACTTTCTCAGCCTACTGTCCATTGCCTCAGCTGCCAATTCCTCCACTGAAACACACACTGGAACGCTACCTCCTGGCACTGCAGCCTCTCGTGACCCCAGAAGAGCTGGAACAGACAAGGGAGATAGTGAGAGAGTTCAGTAGACCCCATAGTATTGGATCGAAACTACAGGACAGGCTGGAAAGGCGATCAAGAAGGACTGAAAACTGGGTACGTATTCTGATTGCCAGTGGAAACACTATGGGGCAGCTATAATTCCTTGCAGCATTCCCAGAATGAAAGTGGAGCTGGAGAAGGGAGAGTTGTTGAAAGTGGAATGTTTTCTTAATTTCAAAAATATACTTTATTCATAAAAAATATCTTTATGTATATACACAGTCACAAACAGAGTTCCATTCTGTACAGAAGCATATCAAGGAAGCAAAAGCATTGGAATTTGACACTATCCAACAAAGCAAAGACATCTCTTGAACGGGCATGACTATAGTATATTTACATGCATCTGAAGCACTAGGAGTGTCCTATAACTGAATGGGCCCCCACAGAACATCCATCCACTCAGGATAGCACTGAGTGGTCATCCCAGTTGATTGAATATGTAAATGTCATCTGTCTACATGCACTAGTAGGTGTTGGGGCACCCTGCATACATTGGGTGGTTGGAAGGAAACCCAGGATGGCAATGTTCCAGATTCTTGAGGCCTTGGAGAAGTCCCACTATTCCTCAAGCGGCTCATTGGAGTAACTACAAACTCACCCAGATAGGTCACATGTGGCCCTTGGAAATGATTGGAGCATTTACACCGAATGTTCCAATCATTTCCACTCTCCAAATGGCGACCCAGAACTCTACCTTGTATATGGAAGTAACCTCCCACCTGAAAGGGTCAAGGTGCTTTTAAAATGGTGAAGCCAGCATTGAGTGTTCACCAGGGTAACTGGGCTAATGACCCTATTTAGAGGTCATTATCAATCCTGTTAACACAAGTTAAGATTTGCTATAACAATTGGCTCTTACTGCATCATTGCTAATACTTAGTGCCATTCATTCTGTCCTTCCTGAATACAGTTATTGTTGTGTGGCCCTTTCTTATTAGTTCAAACACCTCACACTTCTGGATATCACAATCTTTGAATCTCTCACTGTTTCTTGCCTGTATCCTTTCTTGTCATCTCTGCCATCATTCCCTTTTCTTCCATTTCAGCTCATGGACTGGTGGCTCCAGAATGCTTATCTTGAGTGTCGACTTCCGCTGGCTGTTCACTCAAATCCTGCTGTAGTGCTGCCCAAACAGAACTACAATGATTGGAAAGGACAGCTCAGGTAGGAAAAGGTACCACTCAAACCATGGCCGTTGCCCAATCATTCATTCGCAACTCATTACCTGGCAGCCTCATCCATCCCATTTCATTGAGACAAAGTTCAACATTATTAGTATTTTACTTTTTTTTAATATGTCTGTTAAGACTTCCTTATTTGTTTCTTTGACTTCCCAAATATCTGTCTCACCATTTAGTGCCAGGTTGGATGGCTTCTCAGTTGCTTGCATTGAACTTCCTTAAAAACCATAGCTTTCCAATAACTCCACCTGCCCGTGTCTCTTTGTAACTTGCTGCTCCAAATGCACCGTCTAAGAATTTTAATTTTATGACAGTAGGTGGGATTTGAACTCAGGTCTCATGGCTCAGAAATGGGGTACTACTACTGTGACACGAGCCTTCCATTTGCACTTCATACTGTTCCTCCTGAATTAGTGTAACGTGCACACTCAGTCATACAACTCTCTCTTTTCCTTCATCCCAATAATTAATAAACGTGGCTGAAAAATTGAAACCCTAGTGCAGATGGATTGACAGGCTTGATTACAAAGTCAGGGTTGGATCTGAGATCATGGAGTGCAGTGTCAGTTCAGAGGTAGATAGGTTAGAATGGGTAAAGGAGGGGGGGTAATAGAAATTGAGGCGACCAATGTCACATCAACAATTCTCAATGTACAGGATGAGAGCAGGTAAAAGGCCAGCGGGAGGATCAAGGTGGAGGGAGAGTGTTGGAAGCAGGTGAAGGGATCTGTGGGACAGGGACAGGACTCCTGCCCAAAGAAATGGGCACGGAGGCGAAGGTGACGGAAGAAGAGTTCAACGTCATGTTGTGCCTGAAATGCTTTAAGGTGGAGGTGCAGAGGGATAAAACAGATTCCTTTGCTGAGGACAGAACATTCAGCATCAGGAGAGCTAAAGGTCAGAGGGATATAAATACACAACAGGAAATGGGTTGGCAGAGGGGAAGGAGTCAGAGGGAAAGAGATGGAAGGAATGTTTCAGAGGAGTATGGGTATCTCTAAGTTGTTGCATCTTGTGTTCCTGAATGCCTGAATATAAAGTAACACGTTTCTGGCCACCACTAACCACTACTAACCCACCAAGTCCCACAGTTATCTTGCCACTACATCCTCACCACCCTGCTTCCTGTAATGCATTCTCCCAGTTCCCCCATCTCTGTCGTATCTGTTCCGATGATGCCAACTTCAACAAGGGGGCCTCCAAAATGTCCACCCTCTTCCTCAACAGAGGATTCCCCACCACTGTGTTTGACAGGGCCCTCAGCCATTTGTTTACGCCTTTTGTTGCCATTTCCACCACCTCCAGCAGGATGCAACCACTCTCCCCTTCCTTGTCAGCCTCCCACAGGGACTGTTCCCTCTGGAACACCCTGGTCCATTCCTCCTCCACTCTTGACGTTTTTCCCCCATCCCTCCCGGCACCTTCATCTGCAATTGCAGAAGGTGTAACACCTGCCTGTTTGCTTCCTCCCTCCTCACTATCCAGGACCCCAGGCACACCTTCCAGGTGAAGCAGCTATTTGCCTGCACTTCACTCAATGTAGTCTATACTATTCACTGCTCACAATGTGGTCTCCTCTACATTGAGGAGATGAAGCACAGACTGGATGACTGTTTTGCAGAACACCCACATGCTGTTTGCAAAAATGACCCTGAATTTCCACTTGCCTGCCATTTCAACACACTATCCTGTTCCTTGGCCAACATCTCTGTCCCAGGCTTGCTGTAGTGCTCCAGCGAAACTCAACACAAGCTGGAAGAATAACACCTCACTTTCTGCTTGGGAACCCTGCAACCCTCTGGACTCAATATTGAGTTTAACAATTTTAGGGCTGAGCACCTTTTCCCATGTCCTTACCCCTGCCCCCACTCACCAGTCCTTCTCATCACACGGGCAGCTACCACAAACAATTCATTATGGTCTCCAATAGCAGTTATTCATTCTCCCAGGCTTAACTTTAACCATTCCCTTGTCTCTACAACTGTGTTTCTTCCCTCTTTGGGCTGCATTTCCACCTGTCGTTGACCCCTCCCCCTTCACTCCACCCCTTCTTTAGCATCAATACCAATATTTTCCCATCTACAATCAGTCCTGACCAAGGTTCACTGGACTTTGAAACATTAATTCAGCTTCCTCTTCACAGATGCTGCCAGACCTGCTGAGTTTTTCCAACTATTTCCATATTTGTTTCTAATTTTCAGCATTCGCAGTTCTTTGATTTTTAGATTTAGTCTTGAATTTGATCAAAGACTGGGCATCCACAGCCTTCCAGGTCAGAGAATTCTCAAAATTCACAACCTCCTAATGAAGAAATCTCCTCAACTCAGCCCTAAAAAAAACTACCCTACCATTATGCTAACATAATGATTGTCAACAAGTATCGATGTTAATAATTCTTGTTTACTTGGGAAAACAACAACCAAGGTTGCAAACCAGATTTTCCTAACTTCAGCTTCTTCAATGCAACTTAATGTCACTCCCTTACAACTGCAACTAAACTGCTTATTAAAGCTGATTTTCACCCATTATATTATCGATGTATAAAGTAAAATATCCTGACAAGTCTTGCCACTAATTCACCTCTTGCATTTGTTTATATACTTAGATGTATAAGTTGATGTTGGTGTTGCTGATTGAATGTTTCTTTGCTGTAATTGGGTTGCAATTCTGATTCCTTCCAGTCCCGATCTCAGAGTAACTTAGCCACTTTGTAATGTTTCCTTTTCTTACTGTGATTCCTTTCCTCCCTCAGGTTTGCAGCTAAACTAATTGCTGGAGTTCTCGACTTCAAGTCTAAGGTTGACAGGCAAGTTCTCCCAACTAGCTCCATTGGAGTTGCCCAAAAGTCAATGGATATCAATACAAGTGTGATTCCTGGAAAATGTGATGTATTAAATGTCTGATCCATGGACACTGTAAGCAATGATCTGTACACAACAGCCATTCGTTATTTTAATTCAGGAAAAACTTGTGGAATTGTCAGGCATTGCGTGGAGTAACATTCGGTCCTGAGCAGTTGATTTCCTAGAAATATTAAATGATGCAGCACAGATACAGGCTGCCATCCCATCAGGTCTGTGCTGGCTTTTTGAAAGAACTGTCTAATTTGTCTCGGTCCACTATTCTTTCCTCATAGCTGTATCAATTTTTCCCTTTTCACATGGGAAAGTGTGCAAACAAATAATGTTTTCATAGCCCTGACCCTTTCAGGCCACGTATTCTGCTTTTGTCCATCTGACTCTTTTTGTGTTTACTGATAAAATAACAAGACTAATTTGGTAATAACTCCAACTGGGAATGTAGGTGATTAAGACAAACACACTTTTTAATCAAAAAAAGGACGTATTGAGCAAAACCTATAATGACTAAAGTTCCAGAAGGCGAAGTTAAGAGATGTTTTGATGAAGTAAATAAGCAGCAACTATTTCCACTGTTAAGAGATCAGTGATCAAAGGACACAATTGGTAAAAGAACGGAAAGGGAGATAAGGAAAATATTTCTTACACAGTGAGCCAAATGATTAGTTCAGTCAAACTGCACAGATGATTATAATCCATTGAAATAACATTGCATCACATCAGTTGTGATTTTGAGAAAGAAATTTTGATCATGGCGATCAGTCACTAGAAGGCCAAAACAAGGAACAGGCATAAAGGATAAGCATGTACCTGACACAAAGGAAGAGGGTTGTGGTTGTTGATCATTCATCACCATTCAGCTCCAGGACATTATTGCAGCAGTTCCTCAGGATAGTGTCCCAGGCCCCCACCTTCAGTTGCTTCATTAAGCTGTTCTTTCAATCACAAAGTCAGAAATGGAGGTGTTTGCTGACAATTGCACAATGTTCAGCACCATCCACAACTCCTCAGATACTGAAGGAGTCGATGTGAAACTACAGCAAAAACTGAATGATAGCCAGGATTAGGCTAACAAGTGGCAAGTAACATTTGTACCGCGCAAATGCAAAGTAATGACTTCCTCCAAGAACATCTAGCCATAACCATTTGACATTCAATGATCTTACCATCACTGAATACCCCACTAGCAACATTAACCAGAAACTGAACTGGACTAGCCATATAAATATTATGACTACAAGAGCTAGATCAGAGGCTAGGAGACCTGCAGTGGGTCACTCGCCTCCTGTCTCCCCAAATCCTGTCCACCATCTACAAGACAGAAGTTTAGGAATGTGATGATATATTTTCCACTTGCCTGAATGAGTGCAGCTTCAACAACCACACAAGAAGCTTGATACTGTCCAGGACAAAGCAGCTCACTTGATTTCCACCCCATCCACAAACATTGACTCCCTCACCACTGATGCTCAGTAGTTCAATGTATACTAGCTACAAGATGCACTGCAGAAATTCACCACGGCGAACTTACCTCCGTTTCCATCAAGGAAGGGTAGCAGAGATATGGGAATGCTGCAGGCTGCACATTCCCCTCCATCCTGACTTGGAAATATATCATTGTTCCTTCAGAGTCACTGGGTCAAAATTCTGAAACTCCTCTCTGAATGGCATTGTGGGTCTACTGAATGGACTGCAGTGTCATAAGAAATTAGGTTACTGTCACCTTCTCCAAGGCAACTGGAGAAGGGAAGTGAATGCTGGCTCAGGCAAAGAAGCTCACAATTCATGAAATAATTTTTAAAAGATTAAAATCATAGCATCATAGTGCACAGAAGGTGGCCATTCAGCCCATCGTGCCTCTGCTGTGATTTGAAGAAATAATCTAATTTGACCCCACTCTCCCCGCTCTTCCCCATGATCTGAGAATTTATTTCCCAATTCAAGTATTTAACCAGTTCTTGTTTCAAAGTTATGATTAAAAATGCCTGTATCACTCTTACGGTCAGCATTTTCCAGATCATCACAGTTTACTGCATAAAAAAAAAATCAAACTTCTTGGTTCTTTGCAAATTATTTTAAACCTGCATCCAGATTCTAAATCTTACCTGTAGGCAGCTTTTTAGCCACATTTAGTACCATCCTATTCCTACAAGTTCCCTTCATATGGGTTTCTGTGTGGTTATGATTACAGCTGATGGTAATACTGGACAAGTCAGATACCAGAATGAACCCTGGCTTGGTAGATCATATATTTAACTTTGGCAGTTAGTTACAGTGGTAGTTACTCACTGAAACATACTCATATAATGCTGCAGATGTTCTTTAACAGAACATAAACTCATTGCACAAAAGGAAAAAACAAAAATTCTAAATGTATATATTTAGGACGAATAGAAAAATCTTAAACAGCAAAACAAGATTTCAACTTGTTTCCCAACATCATCTTTTACAGATACTCATTTTCATAGAAATTTCACTCTTATCTCTTTAAATTTTACTTAACTCGTGCTTTCCTGCTTCTTTTCTTTGAACTGTTGAGCCAATTTTACAATTTTTTTGAGTCTGTTTGTATGAATCTTTCACAATTCCAATTTTCTTTTGGTTGTAACAACTTGTTGACTTCTATATGAACTCTCCTGGCTTAGAAGCTTGACAAACTAAAAACACTTCAGCTAGGATTATAGAGTGATAAAGTCATAGAGTTGTACAGCACGGAAACAGACTCTTCAGTCCAACTCGTCCATGCCAATCAGATATCCATATTAATCTAGTCCCATTTGGCCCATATCCCCCTAAACCCTTCCTATTCATATACTCATCCAGATGCCTTTTAAATGTTGTAATGTTACCAGCCTCCACCACGTCCTGTGGGTGCTCATTCTATACTCGCCCCACCCTCTGTGTGAAAACGTTGCTCCTTAGGTCCCTTCTATAGCTTTCCCCTCTCACCTTAAACCTATGTCCGCAATTAGTTTTCGACTCCCTTGCCCTGATATTCACCCTATCCATGCCTCTCATGATTTTATAAACCTCTATAAGATCATCCCTTAGCCTCTGACGCTCCAGGGAACGCAGTCCCAGCCTATTCAGCCTCTCCCTGTAGTTAAAACACTCCAACCCCAGCAACAATCTTGTAAATTTAAACCAAGAGGGAAAAGATTTTAAAAAAAATCTGAGGGGTGACTTTTTCATGCAGAAGGTGGTGAGTGTATGTAACAAGCTGCCAGAGGAAGTGGTGGAGTTGGGTGCAATTACAACATCTAACAAGTGTTTGGATGAGTATATGAATAGGAAGGGATTAGAGGGATATGGGCCAAATGCTGGAAAATGAGACTAGGTAAGACTGGGGTGTCTGGTCAGCATGGACAAGTTGGACCAAAGGGTCTGTTTCCGTGCTGTATGACACTATGACTATCTCCAGCATCTGCAATTCCTGTTTTATTTTGCTAAGGTGACTGGTTCCATTGAACTGATGTGAAAATAAAAGATTTTCTGCACAGGCAAAATTTGTTATCCCTTCTGACCTGAATTTCTAATTCTTTTGAACTGAACTGAAGTCAAAAGCCAAACTAATGGTCTCCGGTTATTTGTAAATTCAGCAGAATAAGCACTCATCCATTCACATCGTTGTTATCTTGGCAAGAACTTGACTGAAGGAACTTGCTTTTGTGAAAATTATGTATTTCAATCAATGTTTCAAATGATTTTCTAACCCCTTTATTAGAAAAAGTCCTCACAGAACTTGACAAAATCCATCTGTCTCTACTTTAAAGTTTAAATCCCAAGTGAAAATATATGGCTTATCTTTTGTCATAGTTATCAGTGTAAACTTGTTGGATTCCCTAAGATTGATGGTAGCTAGAGACTCTAGTGTTTGCCTTTTTTTCTTAAAAATTAAACTATTTTCCACTACTTTGGAGACAGTTCAAAGACAGTTCACTAGGTTGATCCCCAGAATAGAAGAATTGTCTTATGAGCAAAGATTAAATAGGTTGGGACTCGGCTCACTGGAGTTAAAAGGAATGAGAAGTTATTTCATTTAAACATAGGATTTTTAAGGGGCTTGACAGGTAAATGCTGAGAGAACGTTTCCTCTCATGGGAGAGTCTCGGACCAGAGGGCATAGTCTCAAAATAAAGGGGGTGCTGATTTAAGACTGAGATGGTGAGGAATTTCTTCTTTCAATACTGTGAGTCTTGCCACAAAGAGCTGTGGGGGCAGGGTCATTATGTATATTTAAGGCTGAGAGCGAGAGAGAGAGATTCTGGATAAATAGAGGAACCTATCAATTCAAAAGGCAGGAAAGAGGATGTGAGGAATGTCAGATGAGCCCTGATTCTATTGAATGGTGGAATAGGCTTGAGGGGCCAAATGGCCTACTCCTGTTCCTATTTCTTGTGGTCTTACATCTGATGGTTTGTTCGGTTATTATTGCAAGCCGTTTCAATTTGCTGCTGTCTCTATGAACTCCCTTTCTGTTTGTTTTTAGAAAAACTCTTCCAACTGAGTACATAAGAGGCAAACCTCTCTGCATGGATCTGTACCCCAGAATCCTGTCATCTTGCCGCATCCCAGGACCCAAACATGACACTTTGATAAACTATGGCTTCACGAGGAGCCCACCAACTCATGTCACAGTGGTCCGCAATTTCCAGGTAAAGTCCAAGAATGCCAACACAAATACTAATGTAATACTAATCCTATCTGAAACTAACCATCCTTATTATTGATGCCTTATTTATTGGTGTACAAAGTGCATTCTTTTATCACATTTATCCCTCAACTAAAAGCATTAATACAGGCTTCTGCCACAACCACAATGATATTTGTGCAATCTTTTCATGTACAGAAATACAAATTTTATTGCACTTCAAAATTGACTTGACCTTCCATGGAGTGGACCCTGGATCAGATGATTATCATAGAGGCCCCTGGAGCAAAGAACAAAGTTTGCCGGTTCCTCACCTCTTGGAGGTCTGTCTTGATATCAATCCTTATTGTCTGCAGCAGACTATGTTCTGCAGCTGTATGGGAGTTGGGACAATTCCACCAACACTCTCTTTCACCTTCTGAAAACTTCTGAGGATGAAGAACTTCTTGATCTTGGCTTTTGCCCCAGTGAACTGGAGGCTCAAAGAGGGGTCTCACCATTTGTCAACCTTTGTAATCCCTCTTGAGTTCCTCAGTGTTTTCTGGGGTCACCAGTTTGTGCTCGGCTTGTACATTTTCCTGCCACTCCACTAGTCCACCTGTCAGCCAGCAGGAGGCAGTATTCAGAGATGACTACTGACTTGACGTTAATGGATCTGATGGTGGAAGCTCAGGACACAAACAGGATGTTTATCCTAAAATGAACAGACTCATGACCAGGTATATCCACAATGAGCGCCGTCTATAGGGTTGCTGATAAGTATAAATGTTGTCTCACCTCGCCTGCTCCTCTCAATGATGTATGTTTTTGTTTTCTTTGGGTCTTATAGAAATTAAATATAGTTTTCAAACTGGTTGTGAAGATAAAATTTAATTTGCTGAACATTAATCAAATAATATTTCACTTCTCAAGTAGATAACTCCAAGTTAATAATTACAGTAGATTCACTTGGTAATTGTAAAATTAATCACATTTCTAATTTGCCATTTTCAGCCAGTGATGGTGGTTTTATGCTGTTGCTCATTGAACAGTTTGTTGAGTAAGAATCATAGAATCCCTACAGTGTGGAAACAGGCCATTCGGCCCAACAAGCCCACACCGAACCTCAGAGCATCCCACCCAGTCTCATCCCCCTATAACGCACCTAATGTACGCATCCCTATGGGCAATTTAGTATGGCCAATTCATCTAACCTGCACATCTTTGGACTGTGGGAGGAAACCGGAGCACCCGGAGGAAACCCACGTAGACACAGGGAGAATGTGCAAACTTCACACAGACAGTCGCCTGAGGCTAGATTGGAACCCACGTCCCTGGCACTGTAAGGCAGCAGTGCTAACCACTGAGCCACCTAAAGCAATATTGCTTTACAAATATCTTCCTCCTTTTTAAGGAGGAAAAATAACATTTTGGGGCCATCATAAGATGTTTTGAGTACAATGGAATTGATGGGCTTTACGTTTTAAATGTCAGTAATTCTTCCCAAGCTCTACTGTCAATGGATCTCCTATCTTTAACATTCCTGCCTCTGCAAGAAAAGCTTGTCCAGTTGAACTTTGGACTAAAACTTCAACTGGGAGAGATTTCAAATTATTAAAGTAACTTATTCAGCAATGCCAGATATAGGCATGGTCTTAGAATAAAATGCCTTTCCTCTCTCTCTCTCTTAGGAGTTTACAAACTCATAAAATTATATCAGGATAGAATATATTTGCAGGTATGTTCTAGCAGAAACATGCCTAAATTAAGCAACATGATACAAACACATGAACCTAAAATTAGGAGCATGAGCACAGGAGTCCTATAACAATCCTAGAATATTGTTAGCAGTTTTCAGTTCTTGGGAATTCAGTGTGATACGAGAATACTCTAGTAAAAGCAAAATACTGCAGATGTTGGAATCTGTATCTGAATGTTTGCATCATTTGTCACAAAATAGATGAAATATGAGCACTGATATAAATAAATATGTATGGCCTGATAATCATTTCAGAGACATAGCTGGATGCTCCAAACCCACTACCACTTCTATCTAGAAGGACAAGGGCAGCAGATATATGGGAACACCACCACCACCTCCAAGTTCCCCTCCAAGCCACTCACCATCCTGACTTGGAAATATATCGTCACTCCTTCACAGTCAAAATCCTGGAATTCCCTCCCTAATAGCATTATGGGTCAACCCACAGCAGGAGGAATGCAGCGGTTCAAGAAGGCAGCTCACCACCACCTTCTCAAGGGCAACTAGAGATGGGCAAGAAATGCTGGCCGAGCCAGCGATGCCCAAATCCCACAAAACGAATAGAAAAAAAAATGCTGACCAATGTTGGGACCTGATTGTTGAAGAGCATTTGATAGATCTGAATGGCAGGAAGCTAGGAAAACATAACAAGTAGTTTTGTCAATTACGAATGGCATTACTTCAGTACTGAGAAAAGACTTTAACTTGAAAGATCGACATGTAGGATCTATATGGATTCAGGTAAGAAATGGCATGGGGAAGAGGTCACTCGTGGCAGTTATTTCTTGGTCGTCTAACAGTAGCTATAATTTAGGAGAGAGCATGTGGGAAGAAATGAAAGGGACATGAGAAACAAGTACCACAATAATTTTAATCGAAGTGTAGATTGGGAGAAACATATATTAGGAAAACAAAAGTCTTATTTACAGAGTGTTTTTGGATTTTTTTTGCATAGGATGGTCTAGTGCCAACTACAGAGAATCTGTACCAGTCCTGGGAATGTGCAACAAGACAAAATTAATAATTAACCTCATGGGGTAAAGGAACCTCTAGATGACAGAGATCAAAACATGATAGATATTACATGTTCCATTTGAAAGGGAGCAGCGTGTATTCACAATTGGTGTTTTAAACTTGATTAAGAGTAATTATAAGGATGTTAAGGCATGGCTGTCTAAGATGGACTGGGAAATTAGGTTAAAAGATAGACAGTTGAGTTGCAATGTCAGAGTCTTACGGGCATGTTTAGTGATGCTCTGCAAAGATTTGTCTCACAAAGAAATAACACTCATTGAGGAAGATGCATCATCTGTGGCTAAATAAAGAAGCTAAGGGTAGCATTGAATTTAAAGAAACACTGTCCAAACCTTCAAAGATTAGTGGTAGGTCAGAAGATTAGGCAGACTTTAAGAATAAAATTGTGAATGAGCTCCCATTTCTTCCCTTTCTTTTAGCTTGTTACGTTCTGTTATAATGTCCTCCCCCCTCCGCCCCCACATTCCAGTGGGACTATCTGTCCTTTCAAGTCTGGCAAGTAGACACACCATTTGTTCTGCCATTTTCACATTCCGATCACTTAATCTGAACTATCAACATCATTTTCTCCACCAGCACCTGACACCCACTACCCCCGCACACCCCCTCTCCACCCCAACTGTAGCATAAATGCTGCTCCCTTCACACTTCACTTCAGCTCTGATGAAGGGTCATCTAGACTCAACGTTAGCTTGCTCTCTCTCCATGGATGATGCTTGACCTGCTGTGATCTCCAACATTTGTTATCTATCATAGAAATGTGCTAGAATCCAAAATTAAGAAGGGTTTTATCTGGTAAAATATCTTAGAAAATCACAATTTGATCAGGCATAACAATCATGGTTTTGTGAAAGGGAAATCATGTTTAACTAATCTGTTTGAGTTTTACTGATGAGTAAAAAGTCAATAGAAGGGAGCTAGCTTGTTGATATCGTTTATTCCTATTTCCAAAAAGCATTTGATAAAATACCACAATAAAGGTGACTGCAAAAGCGAAGAGCATGTGGCTCAGATATGTAAAGTTAACATATTAACATCGATTAAAGAGTTGATCAGTTAACAGGAAGCAGAGAGTGGGGATAAATGGGTCATTTTTCAGATTGATATGCTATTAATGGAGTATCACAGGGATCAGTGTTAGTTTTTCATTATTTACGAAGTATATCAATGATTTGGATGAGGGCATCAAATGTATGGAGTTTGATGATGAACAAGAACATTAGTATGTTGTCAAGAAGAGGAAGGGAGTCTAAAAAGGAATGTAAACACATTAAGCAAGTGGGCAAAAAATGGCAGATGGAGTAAAACATGGGTAAATGTGAATATGCCCACTTTGGCAAGAAGAGTAGAAAATCAGTATAATAATTAAACAGAGAGAGGTTGCAGAATTTGATGGTACAGAGGGATTTTGATTCTGGTGCTTGAATCACATGAAGTTGGCATGTAAAGTTAACAAGTGAGTAGGAAGGCAAATGAAATGTTGTTGTCCAAGGGCAAGGAGTCTAGCATATAAAAGTATGGAAGTTTTATTACAGCTCCGAGGGTCAGCACTATGTGCAGTTCTCTTCCCCAGAAAGTAATGGAGGCCTAGTCTTTAGGTTTATTCAAGTCTGAGTTAGATAGATTTTTGATATACAGAGGTTTAATGGTGCAGACACGAAAGGTGAAAGCACAGCCAGATCATCCATGATCTTCAAAGATAGTGAAACAAACTTGACGTGCCAAATGACCTACTCTTGACCCCAAGTCCTAGGTTATTTTGAGGCTCTGTTACACATTGTAATCCATGGGCTTTATTATTAGTTCTAAGGCAGTGTTGCTGTGTAACTCAGAGGTTTTTTGATTATCCTTGGACTTTGTTACAATGTAATTCTGTGTACGTTACTGGTTATCCTGATACTGCATTGCAGTGTAATTCTTAGGGGTTCATTGGATTTTCTGAGACTATTACAGTGTAATTCTTTAGGGCTCGGTTGATTCTTCTTTGCCCACAGTCTCTGTACTTCTGATACCCAGTGGTACCTAAGTCTAACAGGTATGACATAAGGTATGTAATTTAAATGTAAAGGTTGGATTTTTATCTAGTGCCATATGGGTCTGAGTTTGTGAGGGAGTTTAATGATTAATTTGAAGCCTTTCTGGAGCCATAATTCTTTTACAAACTTTATGAAAGACAGAGAAACAGTGTTTTTCTGGACTGATAATGGGAATTTATTTGTACTGTGAGAGATTTATGATCAAACAGAGAAAACATTAAAAAGCATTAGCTTGCTTTTGATTTTAATCGGTCAGAATTTATTTTTGCTGCGGACAAAATCCCATTACTTGAAAACCTTTTGTATTTCATTCACATTTGGAGTTAGATATGAGAGCAATTTCAGCTGGAGAAATGAGTTAGTATTGAACAGTTAAGAAATTGGTCATTTTTGTGTGAGAGTTTTGAAATTCCAGGCCAGTAGTTTTTGATTAATCCTGAAGGGATTATTTGTAGCTGGGAAAGTCTAAATTTCAATGTGACAATAATCAAGACTGAGAATTGTAAAAATAATTAAATCGACCCTTTGGGTGTAGTAGAGAAGGGAAAACTCCCTCTAGTGTTTGAATACTGCAAAGAGATGGTGTTTGGATAGTTGGGATTGTATTTTTACTTTCAAAATATTTCAAATTGTGTTATGTGTAAACAACTTAGTTTATTCTATTTTATCTGATTTCTTCTACATAATGAACTTCTGATTTGTTGTTAAAACTAAATCTGTAGCATTGCATGTTGTATTTTGTTGACACCTTGTTAAATGAAACAGTAACATGATAGATCAAGTCAGATTTCCATTTGGGATCTAACTTGTCCTGTAGTAACATCAGCTGGGACCATAACAAAGTGTTGTTGCTGTACTAAAGTGTAATTCTGTGGAGTTTACTGGTTATTCCAGCCTGTGTTACAGTGTATTATGTAAGGTTTATTAGTTTCTCCCAGGCTTTGTAACAATACAAGTGTTTGCATTCCACTGTTCTTGTTGATGGTCACCACTCATCTCACTTGCACAAACTCTTTCTCCAGTTCTTTCACTTGGATGTCTATAACAGCGATGGCTCCCCTCTGACTGTGGATCAGATTCACATGCAGCTGCAGCGAATCAGGAATCTGTCATGGAAAACAGATAAGGAGCCATTGGGCGTGCTAACCAGTGACCATAGGAACACTTGGGGACAGGCCTACAATACCCTCATGAAAGGTAGAGTCAAACAATGCAGTGTTGGAGAGGGCATAAAGCCATTTGGTTTTCAGGCTAAATTCTGGAAAGCTGCTCAATGTTGTTATAATGTCCCTGCTTCAATTTTGTTTTCTATAAAACATCCACAACTTAACTCAACCCAAAGTTGTTTAAGACTGATTCAGTTTTGCCATGTGCACCACTCAGTGAGGACTGTGTTGGCATTAGGTAAGCGTAACAGAAGGCAAAGGCATTAACTAGACATCTTGTACTAAAAGACAAAGCAGGAATAGGTCTGACTGTGCCCATAAAGGAGGTTTAGGACATCTAACCCATCGTGTCAGGGAATATTATCCAATTTAAGAAAATCCAGTTTTTGAAGATAGGGTGGAAAACTATGACAAGAAAAATGTGTTGCTGCTCACCTTGTCTGAACATTCACCATTATGCATGGAGCACCAAGTAATTTGATTTTACATTTGATATCTGAATATTGTGTATAAGAGTGTTGCATTCTAGAATTGTGATTTCTGTCTCTTACAAAAGATTTTGTAAATATACACTAGTCATTACTAATTCCTGATTGTTCTTGTTCTTCTGCTGGTTGAACCATAGAATGGTAGCAACAAAGGAGGAGGGCATTCTGCTTTCTGAGCCTGTGTCAGTTCTATGAATAAGCAAATTAATTTTCCCACCCTGTTCTGCTCTTCCCCTGTAGCCCTGTAAATGTTTTAACCTTAACTGTCTGTACAATTACTTTGTGAAATTCACAATTGGATCTGCCAACACTCCTGGGTAGTATGTAAGAGATCCTAATCATGACATGTAATTAAATAAAAAGTATTTATTTTGCCTTTGGTTTGTTTGCCACTCTTGTCAATTTAATTTGATGTCTTCTGGTTCTTGATCCTTCTGACCATGGGAACATTTTCTCACTGTCTGCTTTGTCCAGACCATGATCAAATCTCCTCTCAACTTTCTCTTCTCGGAAGAGAACAATCCCACCTTCTCTCGTTACTGAGGTCGCACATCTCTGGAACAACTCTTCTAAATTTTTTTCTGCACCCTTTCAAAGCCTTCACAGTTTTCCTAAAATGAGGTGGTCAGAATTTGACACAAATGGCAGTTGTGGCCAAACCAGAGAATTACAAAGATTCATCGTAACTTACTTACTGTTGGTTGTATTTTATCCTGCATGCATTGAAGATAATATGGCAGGAATGTGTTGCACTGTGCCTCACTTGTAGGAACTAGGGCTGTAGGAAAATTGAACATTTCATTTAGAAACAGAATTACTATGTATTGAATACAGTTCCCTTACATTACCGTACTTTGCATTGGATACTGTTTATTTATATATTATATACAATGTTCTAAAATGATAAATGAATTGTAAAGAGTAGTCCTAGAGAATTTAATTACCAGTAACGGATGAAGAACAGGGAGGCACAACTTTAAAATGAAGGCTCAGTCATTCAGGAAGAAATCAACACACACTTCTTGAAAGGCAAGTGGAAATGGAAACTCTTTCCCTAACATATCCATATTACACCCACCCTCCCCCCAACAAAGTCAATTGAATGTTTCAATGCCTAGAGAAGACTTTTATTTCATAAGGATATCAGGGAAAGAGAGGTAGCTAAAAGGCATAAAAATGGATTTGCAGTCTATACCACCCATGATCTGGTTAAATACAGGAACAGGCTCAGATGGCTGAATGGTCTCTTCATGTCTCTTTCCTTCCTTTCAGTAAGGTTTATACTCTTTACTATGATCTGTAATGCACCAATTGTTATCATCCTCAGATAAACTGAACAGAGAATCTGTACGGGCCATTCAGAAGAGCATTTTCACTGTGTGTCTAGATTCTCCAGTCCTGAAGATCTCGGAGGAGAAGTATACAAGCCGCATGGCAGCTCAAATGTTGCATGGAGGAGGAAGCTACTCAAACAGTGGCAACCGATGGTTTGACAAAACTCTGCAGGTAGGAGAGACTGAGACAGCATGCTGAACTCATTCCAGCATTTAATGATCTAAGAAGAGATGCATTTGCACAGTACCATATTAAGAGTGCATTGAGCATTTAGATGTGTCACTGTTCACAGTGTTAAAAGTATCAAATTCCATTTCCAATGCAACACTGAAAGATGCATACTGTAGGAACTCAATGCAGTTTTTGCATGAAATGTGTTAAATTTACATGGTTGGTACATGCCTGAGGGGTACACAAATGAATACTGGTGACCAATTTTAGTTCCTCTGCCATGCACATGATTTGCAGCAGATGCACATATTCGACTCAGTGAGTCTGGTGCTGGGGCATGTAGATTCTCTTACCTCAGATACTGGGAAATCTGTGGTGAGTAACTCACCTCCTGACTGCTCACAGGATAATGTAGGAATAGGATGGTATACACCCCTGCTTGTCCAGATAGGTGCAGTTCCAACAATGCTCAAGGAGTTCAAAACCAACCAGCGTAACGCAGACCACTGAACTGGCATCCTATCCACCACCTTTTAAGGTTTCCTATCATCCTCCAGTGGTATACAGTCACTGCAGTGTGCACCATAAATAATATGCATTACAATAAATTACCCAGGCACTTTCAACAGCACATTCCAAACCTGTGACCTCTACCTCCTTGTATAACCAGTTGTCCAAAAGGGAAAACTCCCTTTGTAATAGCACCACTAGGAATAAGTAAAAAATGCAGTCCTTGCCAGTGATGTTCACATCCTAATCAGTAGCAATAATTCTTAAAAAAATGGTTCTTCATAGACTGGAGCAGGGGGATATCTTGTTGAGACTAAAATGGACCTTTGGGGGGAATAATTGGCACTTTGTGTAATTTGTGTAATTTTGCCCCAATCAGAATGACAATGTGCTCAAATCTACATGAGAGTTCCCATGTTGTTAGGATAACAGATCTTTCCATGATCTCTGCTAAGAAAAAGCAACTTGGCCTCTTCTCTCCCTGTGATAGCAGATGTAAATTAAATAATCAAGTTTTACTTGCATGTATTAATGCAAAATTCAGTCAGCTACATCTGCAATCGTCCTTGTATCTGAGCACTTGTATCTGGCTACTTAAGCATATCTCTTTGTGTTACAGTTCATTGTTGGGGAGGATGGATCTTGTGGTGTTATATATGAACAGTCTTCTGCAGAAGGCCCACCCATTGCCACCATATTGGACCATGTTCTTGATTATTGGTAAGAAAATGCATATGGTACAGAGTGAAATCCTTCTTTTATTTAAAATGTTGTTTATTTTCTAAATATGTCCTTACTTTTCCTCCTCTTTTACCTTTTTTTTTCTATCTTTTGAGAAAGCATGTGGATGGCTAAGGATCATCTCAATGCAGAAGACTGACAGTTATTGTTGAAACTGGAGACATGAACATTGTGTTTCTTTCTTCCTGCTACTAAAATAACTTCTGCCAAATAGGGTTAAGGGCTCCATTGGGATAGCAACACAGAAATGCCATGCTTACAGCTCTGTAAATTAGTCAAACTTTTATTAGGGTTCTGACAGGATAGAATGCTGGCAGACTGTAACTTTTATGTAATAAATTAAGAGAATTTATTAAGTAACAAAGCAATACTTAACAACTAGGTGATATTTTACAAGTTACACATGGCCAAGTCTCTCCTGAGCATCTTGGACACTGACCAACATTTAACTGTGGTCTGATTTGACTTCCTTCTTCTGTTTCTTTCTTCTTCGATCTTTTTTCTGAGGACCTTTGTAACTGTATACTAAATCCTTTCAGACAGTATGTTTTATCCCCATCTAACTCCAGTATACAGGAATTCTCTTACCATATTTGGTAAAAGCATCTGACTTACGACATTCATAGCAAAATCAATATGATTGATACTCCATTGATGCTCCATTCAAAGTTACATCAACAGGCCACAATACTTCATCAATAGCTACATCCCAAACTACAATAAAGAAAGTTAGCATGCAGACACCTTACTGGGTTTATGTTGTTCTTTACACTTTGAGTCTTTAGTTTTCAAACAGAAGTATGCAGACAGAATGACCATTTATGTGTAGCCCAATCTATGCAAAGGGTTGGTCATTGTAGTAGCAGTTAACTCCTTGCTTGCCCAAAGACCATACAAACTTGTGCAAAGCATAGTTTCTAAAATTAAAGCGTTAGGAGTAATATATAAAAAGCCATATTTCAGACAACTTGTGAGTATCCTTGGCATTTTTTCATCGTTTTACCAAGCAGGAAAGAAAGGTATGTATTTATGTAGCACCATTCATGATCACAAGATAACCCTAAATGTTTTACAGCCGATGAAATAGTTTTGAAGTTTAGTCACTGTTACAGTGCAGAATTTGTAGAAACCAGATTGTCCATAGCAAAATCCTACAAACAGCAGATAATCTGTTTTTGGTGAAGTTAGTGGAGGGTACGCATCGACGCGAAAACTGGGCATAATTTACCTGACTGTCTTAAAATAGATCTTCTACATCCACCTAGTAGGTCAGGTGGATTCTTGGTTTAAGTCTCAATGAAAAGACAGTATCCCTAACAATGCAGTATTCCCAAAATATGCACTGAAATGGCAGCATTAACCTTCATGCTCGGGCCCTAGAATGGGATTTGAGCTTTCAATCTCCTTACTTAAAAGTAAGAGTACTAAAAACTGAGCCACAGCCAATACAACCTAATCCCAGTCCACATGTATTAAAGTACCTCTATTCATTTCTCAGTAGCGAGACATGGATACTCAATTCTGAATAATTGACATGCAATAATGACTATAAACTGGATCCAAATTTTCTCCAACTGTTTGTAATTTGACACATATAATTCAATTCAATCTGCTGGTATACTGACCATCCCCAAGTTGTTTTAAGCAGCATTGCCAGTAAACAGTTTTCCCATTTAGTCAGGAGTGATGTAAAGGAAAAACTGATTTTTTTTTTTCAAATTGTTTTTCAAAGTCCGTTTAATCTGGTAAATACAATTAACTGATTTACGGAAGGGGTGGAAAACCATATACGTCATATGGCTTTTTCACAATTAGTCTCACCAACCTAAATAGGAGAGTGTATGTTTAAGCTCCCGGGTAGAGATAGTGAGGGGATGGAACACTGAATCTAAATGTCTGTGATTATAGATTTTGATCAGAACTTGTTGTAAGGCAAGTTGCAGAATGAGCTCCATTTCCCACTGAATCAGGTGAAAATAACACATCCACTGACGATGATAACAGAAACTGTAACCAGTTCCTGAATGCAGGCTGATTTAGGGAATGAGGTACTTAGTATGACTAATATTCAGCATTAACTTTGTAAATTACATGACTTTCAGAAGTGATTGACTTTTGTTTTGTAAATCAATGCTTTTGTTTATAAAGGATAAAATGTCTAATTCATGTGTTGCATTTATAGTAAGGACCCAGATACAGTTCGAGCTCCCATGATTCCACTGCCTTTACCAAAGAAACTTTATTTTTACATCACTCCAGAGATTAAGAGAGATATTGAGCATGCCAAACAGAACCTGGACATGTGAGTATTGTACCTGCCAGTTATGTTTATGGGTATTTACAAGATTGGATGAAAGGAACGTAAAAATTGTACGTGTCTATTACTTGTGATTCAGCTCTTGGTTTATATCACTTAATCCAGTATTCCTATTCCTTCTCTCAGATAATGGTTTCCTTGCAACTTGGTCAATGGGGTAAAGACAATCTTGAATGCACACATACCTTCAAAATGAGGAGATTTATTCTGTGCATCTACAGTCATGAAATTTTAACTGTGTCTGTAAGAAAACATGTTTACAATTTTGCCATGCTCTGTGGAAATCCCTGCCCAGAATTGGTTAGGTAGAATTTTAACTTGGTTTCACTTCTCTTTTCAAAGCTATTAGCTTGAAATTGGCCAAACTCGTGCAGTAAGTTGCAAAGTTTTAAGTGTGAATTCTGTTCGATAAATCACCATTGATTCAGGATGAATTGGTCACCATTGGGAAGTTTGATAAATTACCCCATTTCCTGGCTCTCAAGGAGGCTTTAAGAAAATAAGCAATTTCTTTTGGGTGTAAGGAGAATAGGCACATTTAAAAACATTTAAATGCGTTTTTCCATTTCATAATTAGGCTGTGAGTGTCATTGGCAAGACCTGCATTTGTCACATGTCCCTATTTGTCCTTGAGAAGTTGACTGAATTTTTGTTGTCCATGTGGTGTTGTTACATTTACGGTGCTATTAGAGAGGGAGTTCACCTACAGAGAGGAAAATGTCACTGGGTGATTATGGAGGGAAATGTGAAGGTGATGCTGCCCTTATGCTTCCCAGTGGTAGAGGTCACAGGTTTGGAAGCTACTATCAAAGTAGCCTTGGCAAATTGCTGCAGAGCATCTTGTAGATGAGACATAGTGTTGTAACTGACTGTCAGTTATGAAGGAAGTGCATGTTTTAAGTGGTGGATAGTATGCCATTCAAGGAGGCAGTTTTGCCCTGGGTGTTCTTCAGTTTCTTGAGACTACATTGTGCATTCATCTCAGCAAGTGTGAAGTATGCAAGCACAGACCTGACTTATACCCAGTAGATGGTATGTAGGCTTTGGGAACCAATTGTTGAGGTACTCAGCACAGAATTCCCACCCTCAGACCTGTTCTTGTAGCTACTATGTTTGTGTTTCTAACCACATTGAGGTTTTGGTCAAGGTAACCCCAGGATGTTGGGAGTGGGTGATTAAGCAATGGTAATGGTATTGAATGTCAAGGAATGATGGTTAGATTCTGCCATGTCAATCATGGTCTTGGTCTGGCACTTGTATAACCCAAAGGTTACTTCTTATTTACTAAGAAACATATAGTTTAACTACCAAATAATTCTGTACATGTTTCTAAAAAAGCTCATTTTCTGATTTATAATTAGATTACTCACGCTGTGAAACATATACTATGCCTCAAAGTGCTTTTCTTTTTTGATGAACCATTTTCAGCTGTATTAATATAATTTCACCAAGTTACCACTTTAATCTATTCAGGAACATTTTAAAAATAAATTTTGCAAACCAAGGTGTACAGTTGAGTTTGAGCAGAAACTTGAAGATATATGCTTCAAAATTTATTCCTGATCGTGCAGAATGCAGAAACTTTATGCCGTGTATATCTTTATAACATTTCTGATGCAATAAATTATTTCTGAAAATTTGAGAGTTGCTTTAAGATCAATATTTGCCATCGTGAATGGTGACTGACTTGATTGAAGTTGTCCATGTTTTTTATTCAACCCCTTAGTTAGAAGATAAGTACATGCATGCAGGCAGTACTTTAGATGGATAGAGGACATGCCTGGAAAGTTCCAGAAGTGTTTCTCAAAAAAAGTGTTGTATTTTTGCAAATTCAGAAAGTTATGCGAAGAACAATTCCATCAATAAAGCATGGAAGCTACACAAGGATCTCTTAATGTACTGGTTCTGATGGAAACCTAGGCCTTAATTGTATCACTTAATCCTATTCTGAGCATTTCGTTCCTAGACAAAGTTATTGTGGAATCATAAAATAGAGACTCAGCTGAAATTGTACTTTTGTTATAGTTTAGTTAATGACTTGGACATCAGCTGCTTCACCTATAGGAACTTTGGCAAGAACTTCCCCAAACTACATGGAATAAGTCCAGACTCCTTTGTTCAGATGGCACTGCAGTTGGCGTATTTTAGGTATGTACTCCATGGTGGAACAAAAGATTTCAAGCTGTCATTCTCATGATGTTGAATTTAATCCTATACAGCTATTACGAGTTCACTCACTGTTTGATACACTCAGTAATTAAAGTTAACACAAATGCTATTGGAATTGGATGACATTTAGGATCTGTACTAATACTCTTCACCCTGACTTGTTCCTGATTAATTGTGCCTTGTATTAGGCTTCTCCAGAGCCTCTTGTTTCTCTTTACATTTTACATTTGTATGAATTATTTTGGAGGAACTTTTAAGACCTTACAGAAGGTCTTGTTTACTATCTTGTTGTTAAATTCATCTATGTTGTTCACCTCAACTCCTGTCTTTGATAGAATAGTTAGAAAGTGGATATTGCTATTAGTTAAAAAGTCACTCTGAATTCCCATTGGATTTATTAGTGACTATCTTGCTCGTAGTTCTGGTCTTCTGCTCAAATATAATCATCTCCCTTCAATTAACTCTTATAAATCTTTTTGTAATCTGGATGCCCTTTGTCAAAACAACACTTTGCCTTCTCTAGCACAAACAGCTCTGGTTTGTTCAATTTTTTCACCTTTATTCCTCTCGCTCTCATAGTATCAATTTTTCACATTTTCTGAAATGGGTGGCCCTCACTGGTCAAAATTGCACACATTGGAAACGGGGTGCATAAATAATTTGTTTCAATGTGGATGTTTAACTTCCATTTCAAATTATCTTTTCAGTTCAGCAACAAATGCAGCTGCTTGGTCTGTCTGCTTTTGACAATCCATTGCATTGGTTTCTCTGACATTTATGGCTATTCCACAGATACATCCATCCATTGTTAGTTTAAAATATTGATACCCACATATGCAACAAATGTCATATCAATTGCTATATTCAGAGACACGGCTGTGCCTTTGGTTGTTGTTTCATTCCCATCCAGATAACATACATTTTCCTAACTATGGCGAGAGAAACAGAGTTAAAGCATCTACATCAGCGACCTTTCATGAGAAACTAATTTAACCTGAATTGCACTGAACAGACTCAGCACATTATGGGAATTCTCATTTGCCAGTTTAAAATTTTGAGGCTTTATGAACCTGTTGGCGGATTATAAGCACAGTAAGTTCTTCAGGGCCACATTTCCTAGAACTGCACTTTGAGGGTGGAGTAAGCCTTCCTGTCTGGTAACAATGGCATGCAGCTCCAAACAGCTGAAACACTAAGGCTGCATATTAACTCCCATGTAGCAATGTACCAAGATGTATTTGGAAGTCATGTTTCAGAGCCAGATAGCAATTGTTTTTAACATGGATTCAGTTTGAAAGAATGTTTTTATTAGTTCATGGAATGTGGGCATCACTGGCTAAGCAGCATTTTTTGCCCATCCCTAATTGCACAGAGAACAGTTAGCAGTAAATCAAATTGGAGTCCCATATTGGCCAGACCAGGTAAGAATGGCAGATTTCCTTCCCAAAATGACATTAGCGAACAAGGTAGATTTTCACAACAATCAACAGTGGTGTCATGGTCTCTATTAACTGAGTGTTTAATTACAGCTTTTTATTGAATTCAAATTTCAGCATCTGCCGTGGTGATAGAATTTGAACCTTTATCCCCAGAACATTCTGCATGAATAGTCCTGTGATATCAACTCCCCTCAACATTGAATGCAATTTTAATCTGACATAAACCCAAAATCATCTTGGTACCAAGTATAAAATAACAGAGATAGTAGATTCTCCAGCATCTGCAGGTCCTGAGATAACAAGGTGTAGAGGTGGATGAGCACAGCAGGCCAAGCAG